CTCAAATTCATCTCAGCGTCTTTGAAAATCTTAACCGCGTCTGGAGGATAATCGACAATGCATCTTCAATAGTGTCCTGCACCGTAGTATAAATCGTCTACATATAACGAGGAATCTAACATATCATAACTTTCTGGATTTGTGCTTTTATATTTTTTAATGTGGAATTTTGTCGTTCATCGCTAAAATTGCTGGACTACAGCAAAGTCCGAAATGGAAGACGTTTAAACCTTAAAACTTTATATTTTTCCTCACTATTCCCGAACCAAAGAAATTTTAAATATTCCCTATCCTTTTCTAAGATTCCTATCATTAAAAGGCCCTTAGCTAAATCTCCGCTTGAAAGCAATTTCATATTTCCGAAATTTCAAAATTATGTCCAAAACCACGGGGATCAAACTAGGTCCAATGTTCTAAAAAATCATTTAAGGACTTTTACACCTTTAGTTCTAGAAGAGCTCGCGTCGTAAACAATCCTACAACTTGTGGTTTCCTTAGGTTTTATAATTTCCCTGTGCGGCATAAAATACGATGCCTTCCGTTATTTCCTGTGAACACTTCTCAACTATACCCTCCTTCATTTGCTCTTCAATTGCGACGATTTATACTGCTGATAAATCTCAGGAATTTCCAATAAGTCTAATTTTTAAGACTTTCTTTCACATCGTCCTTAATGCGACTGCGAAATTATTTTCTAACTTGCCCTGCTCCCGATTTCCATAATAAACTGAGTATAGTATCTATTACCTTCTAAACGTATTCCTTTTTCAAAGCACCACTGAATCATTTCTCTCACCTTCGTTAGAAATCGCTGAGTCATCGGTAAGGCCCATCAAATCTAAAGTCGACATAACGATCTCAATGAAATCAGTTACGCAAGAAGAAAAGTTTACTATTGCCGTGTTTTTGAGATACTTATTTCGCTCTCTTTATCTTGAAGGCCAACTGGGACCCATCCAAACATAGTAGAAATCGCATAAATTTCCTTTTCCTAATTGAATCTTTTTTCCCCCCTTACCATCTTCCAGTAATAATCAACACCTATTATAATTCCAACGCTTTTCTTTACAGCTAAACAAGCGATTCGCAATCCGCACTCATTCATCATTTTTAGTGTTTGTTTTGACAGGCATGGTCATATTGCGCAGCCGTAATGGCGTCAGTGACGAGACAGCTGATTTTTATTTGTTCTTTTGCTTCGCGTCCGAAACACAGAATTCGACAACCTTATATGTTTTAGGTACTGCGTATTTCATTCCGAAAGAATAAATAGACAATGTTTTTCTCCTCTCCAACAAATTTTAAGTTTAATTCCTTAACTACACTAATATGAACAAAACTTCGTGTAGCACCACAATCGAAAATTAAATTAATTAACTCTGACTTTCCGTCATAATGAGCTAACACTGAACAGGTTTGCAATAAAGCATTTTTATTCAATGATTTATCACAAGGAAAACACAGAAAGCGTGTGTTCCTTTGGGGAGTTCTGTGTTTCATCTACTGAATTATCTCGCGAGCTTTCGCACAATTCTTTTATGTTTTGATTTGAAGCCGTTCGCGCTTTGTTACGATTTGAACTACTCGTACATAGTGATTCATGATGCGACTTAAACCCGCATTTTAAGCAGTTAGTTTTATTCCTACACGATTTCCAAATGTGATATTTTCGAAAACAAATAAGCATCTATTTTCAGTACGTAACTTACACAATTTTTCTTTAATGCTTTTATCACAAGAAAATGATTTATGGGACTTTTCGCAGAAGATGCATGCACGATTATCAACAGCATTGAAACTGGCAGCCGTAGGTACATTTCTGTGAATTTTTTATAATCAGACTTAGCATGTTCGAAACGTGGAGGCAAGGTATTTCTTTTATCTCGCGTCAATAAACTCGACGCTTCACGACATTCAATTTCCCCGCTTTATGAAGTCCAACAAGTCTGAAACTTTAATTTCTTCATTTGGGTTTTTCCTTCGATTAAATTCCAGAACGAACTCTTCTGGAATAGCTTTTTAACAACACAGGTATTAATAACTGACCAAATGAACCTTTCGTAACTCCTTGCGCTTCCAAATTCCGAACTGCAATTTCGATTTCATCATATAACCTACGTAAAGCATTAATATTATTTGAATTCCTTACTGGTTCTAAATTTAACAGTTTGTTCATGAATTGACTAATTAATTATTTATTTTTTCCCGAATCTATTCCTTCAAAGTTTTTATACTCTCATCGTAATTTTTTGCATTTATTTATTCTAATGAAGATACTACAAATACTCGCGGCACCTGTAAGTAATGTTTTCAAGTATGCGAATTTTTCTATCTTACTAAGACTTTCCCTTTATTTGTCTATAGTGTGCTTTCGTAACTGTTCCAAAACTCCGTAAATTTTTCAGGATCACCTGAATATTTCTCTAAAACTAGTATTTGGAACTTACTTTCCAGTACTTTGTACATTTTGCAGTCTAACCAAGTTTTGTTCAGGATCTTTAATACTTATTTTCTCCTCTTCCAACATTCGATTAATTCGTTTAATAGCTCGAGAACATTTTTCCTGATATTCCTCAGAACTAACTATATCCGCTTCTAGAGAATCTATCTCAATTACGGAATGAATTGCCTCGTGTAATTCTTTCAAATTACTTTTCTTTTCTATTAATAAATAATTCATGCACTTCGCATAATTCATTTGTATCTTTCTTTGCTAAGCTATCCTCGACTTTCTTTAATAGTTTAGATACTACCGTTCTCAATGCGGTTCTCTTTCGTTTTAATCTATGTAGTTCTGCCATCATTTCGCGTTAATACACAAATGTACCCAAGACTGCAAATTATCAAAATTCAAATCAAACACGTTCAAAATTTAATAATAATCATGCTCTTACCTAGGGCATGGTCTGGACACATCCTTCCTCGTGAAGTTCACTTTAACAAATCCAAACATTGCCGTACGATGCACCATTGTGACGAACCTGCACTTTTCCGTGGCGGCCCGTAGAGCAATCACTAAACATCCGATGGTTCAGTTTTTCTAATGTTATTTATTATTCGTTATATTTACATATTTACAACTGTCCTATTGTTAGGTGGACTACCTTCACAGAAATCATGTTGCCTAATCAAACGACATTTCGTTTCTACTTACATGAGTTGCGCTACTGCCAAGCAGCGCCCTCTACTTCTCTCTTTACAACAAGGAACAAGGCTTCGCGTCTCGTCCCCGCCGCTATTTTGTTTTTTCCTTCGCACGTCATGAGTAGTAAAGGCGCCGTCGAAAGTCTTTAAATTCGAATTTTTTCTGCTAAATGTTCATTTAACTTGCGATGCAACAGTGTGTAAAATAGAACAGAATTGTCAGCGATTAACTGTATACGAAAAAAAAAAAAACTTCACTCATGTTAAGACAACGTATTCCAAATGACGTGTTCGATCGGTACTGTAGATCTGACACCAACGCATTTAACGACATTGTGTCGATATAATTCATCATGAAGATGAAATAGGATTTATTTGTGTTGCACATGCTTCGATCAGTAATGGTGCTAGAACCATAAAGAACGGTACAGTATTAACGGCAACTTTTGTGTAATTGTGGAAATCCTATATGTAATCAAGAATTCAGTGAAATGACTCAATATCTACTAATAAATAAAATTAACATTTGTTTAAATGTATTTATTATGCGATGCGGTCGTAAGTGAAAGTCAACTGGCACTACACAAGTAAGAAGTAAAATTGTTTTGATAATTATCGAGTGATAAAGTTATATGACGAACAAATCCAGAACTTTTAATAATTAGGTTACTGCAGTCACAACGCAAAAGAAGTTGATTTGAATTGAAATTCACTTGCTTATCGGGCACACTCAGTAATCTTTATTCAGTAATTAATCTTCGAAATTTTATCTTATATACCAAACATAACTTTTGCCATAGCATGTGGCCCATCAACACAACACGTCTGTTACTTACCTGAAAGTACAATATTAAATACAATGATTCCTCAGGTAAAGGAACGTAATATACATTGTAGATTGTTAGAAGTAGAAATAACACCTCAAGAAGGAGGAGATTTTCTTTCCTCCTTCTCGGGGTTCTCCCTCCTAAAACTTATAGCCCTGCATAATTCAATGTGCAATTGTGTTTCAGTAAGTTATTTAGAAAATCATCACGTAAGAAATAAGGGTACTTACGTATTTTTCAATAAAGCATCTGCGGCAAACAAAAACTGTCATCGAACAGTGCGATTTAGCGCCTATAATGGACAAGTGTGAAGTAACAGCACTCATAAGATCTTCGCTTCGATTTCATGCAACCTAATTCCTCAATAAAGTAGGTTAAATGTTATTTTTGAGCTTTTCAGATGTATAAAAAAATTAATTTGGGACCTACCTTTTATAGAAGAGCAAGCAGTAGATAATTTTCAAAGTTATGTGATTGGTGATACTGGCGTGCATATTCAAATCATTGAAAGACTGAGATTTCAACAAAATGGCAGGGACCGGAAGAAAACCGCGCGACGTCATTTGCTTGCAAAGCTAGTTTATATGGCGCTGAGTTTACAAAAAAGATAATTAGTATTTTGTTGCTATTTTGAATAGCATTAGAGATTTTCGGCTGTCTGAATTCTTGTCGTAAGTTTAAATGAATTTGTTTTTAAGATATCGTCAAAGTTTTACAGATATTGTCAATTTTCATGGTCCACAAGAAAATGCACTAATATAGAATTTAGTTTGCAGCATATCCTTACATAATTGAAAAGGCTATGTCAAGACTGATATAATTTTAAAACTCGCCGTTTTCCGGAAAAACATTAAAACTCAATTCTCGCACGTATACTATGTTTAAACATCAGAACCATTTATTTATAAAATTGTATTCCTTTGAAAGCATGGATCAAATAAAACACCCATTCCCTCATTTTCTTAAATAAAAGGAAAACGAAACATTCAGAATATAACTTCAATAAATTTTAGTATAAAATTTACTTACGTTTGTGAACATTTTTAAAAAGTGACCAACAAATCTAGGGTCATGAAAGGAAATTTCCATGCTACCTTGGAATAGAGATGGTAAAAAGCTGCCCACTGACAGAAAGATTAAAATAACAGATATGACCTGTAAAGAAAAAACATTAAAACAGTATACATACTTCTCTAAATTGATTAGAATATCATTTAAAAAAGGATTAAGCCTTTACATGGCAATTTCTTTTTCCAAAACTAATGTGATGCATAAGAAATTTCGCAGAATGAGCTCCATATTCTACCTTACACCGACAGCATAAATTTTTGTGTATAACCGAATTTCTGGTCGCATGTTTTCTATACAAGTCTCTCTCTTCTAAGAACAGCAGATACTGCAATTCCAAGTCTAACGACATTTGAATTTTTAAAATGTCTCTAGTAGAACGCAAGATACGGTTTAAAATGTTCCAGCAGGATTTTGGTGACTTTCTCGAAGATTCGGGAAAATGCATTTTTGAAGCTGTAAAAGCTATTTTCCACGAAGTTTTTGGAGGCCCGTTCAATACGTATACGAGAGCAATTCGGAAACGAGCCTCCGTTGTGGAGTGGCGCTAGTAGTAGCGAGCGGAGTTACTACTAGCGCCACTCCACAACATTTCTAAATCAAGCAGTCTGTGATTCAGTAAGTTTCCTGCTATCCTAGTGAAAGAGTGTTGTACTGCCACAAGTGTGCTGGTTATAACGCCACAAATGTGCGCTGTTATTGAAAATCCTGCCAAATGCGAAGTAAGAGGAGTAACGATTGGTTCTGGCAAAAACACTGTCAGCAGCAGATATTCATCATGACTTGTGTGTCATATACGGCTCCGAACTTGATGAGTAAAGGTGTAGTGCATCAGTGGATGAGATTTTTCAAAACGAAGGAAGAAACATTCATGATGGATCAAGGAGTGAGTTACTGTCCGTAGCGAGTGATGATCTTGTCAAACAAATTGAAAACAAAATCCGTCAGATTTGTCGACTCCCGATCTTGGAACTTTCACAATTTCCAAATATTTCGCAGACTATTTTGTGTTAGGTAGGCTTAGGAAAATTAGGCTTCAGGAAGCTCTGGGATCAACTTCGATGGGTATCGAAAATGCTCACGGATATCCACAAAATCAATCGAATGGGAGCTGCCTTAGATTTTCTTTCCAGATACCACAGAAGAGAATGAGTTTTTGAACAGAATAGAGACTGTCTACGAGACTTGAGTAGCGCATGTGAATTTCGAGACAGAACAATGGCCCCTAAGAGCATGGCTGCCATTGTTTTGTGCTCATGTGACCCATGCCATGATCCGGCTGAGAAAAGGCCGTCGAACTATATCAGCGAGGAAGGTTATGGTCACAGTGTTTTGGGACGCTAATGCAATCTTGTCAATTTTGAAGCGCACTGTAACACTGAGAAAAGTGAAAAGAGCCATCCAGAACACTTGTCCCGGCCTGGTAACATCTGGTGTTCGGTTTTCTGCACTATAACGCTCGCCCTCACATTGCTGAACGAACAAAAGATATTTTACGCCGCTTCAAATGAGACGTGTTTCAACGTCACCCTGAAGCCCAGACCTGGCTCCTTCTAACTACTATCAGTTTACATGCGAAGAAGAAATGGCTTGGGATAACAGCATTTCGCTGCCGATGAGATACTTCAAACCGCTGGGATAAATTGATATCCCAGACGGCTGAGTTTTATTCAGAAGAGATTGATAAGTTGGTACCTTTCAAATGTAAATTAAAAATGTATTGAATGTATGCGGTTTTTTTTTTTTATTATTATTTACGGCGAAGTGGACATATTTACAGTGAAATGGAGAATAATTTACGAATTGCCCTCGTAATTATGGCGTCCAAGAGCTAGGTAGAATTATTTGATAATCATCTCTGAGAATCTGCCGTTCAAAAAATGCTGAATTGCGCTCTAAGGTAGGTTTTTGCAACTGAAGCTATTTCTTATGCCCTAAGGAGGTACTGCTTATAATCCATATTCTTCTTGAGCTAGTTACAGCTGTTTATTTTGCTGTCATTATTATTTATGATAAATTGTCAATTTCTTCCTGCTTATCTCGGGTGGTTACTTAAAGAAACAACCTCTAGCCCATGATTTGCAACATCATCATTTTTTAAAGGGAAGATATAATAAAAGAAATAATTATTACTTAATATATATATTTTAAATAAAAGTCTATCATTCGCTTTCTAATTCTTCGAATAGGTGTGTATGCGTGTATTTAATTATGGCAAATCACACTAGGGCTATCTGCCTAAGAGGAGGGATGCATTCGTGGAGGACGTTTCTAAGGGAAACTGACTCGTATGCACGTTACACATGGGGGGAAACCACGAAAACACCCATGCAGCCAGCCCGTTCGCGGGATTCGAACCTCGGACCGAACTACCAGTGTTCAGCGACTTTACCGCTCGGCCGCTGGTGGGCACTCTTCGAATAGGAAAAGAAGCAAATGTTCAGCACAAACAACAAAGTCTTTTTAATAATTTAGTAATCAATCATGCACTTCTTCTGTTTAAAAGGCTATGCAAGCTTCCTTGCAGCAGATATATTTATGCTATTATGTCAAAATAATAAACCGAAAGCTCATGAATAAAGGTACATCATTCGAGCTTAAAAACTTATAAGGTGTATAAGTTGAAATTTTGGTTTCGTGGGTGAATAGAATCCTCAGTTCTCATACCGCAAAACTTATTGCTCCCTGTTTACAAAGACGAGACAGTCACTACACTGACTACCAATAAGTATTTGAACACCTATGCAAATGACTATATCTGCGGTCCTAAGGTACGTTATGGACTCAGCCGGTATATATCGTGTAGGAAACAGCATCGGCTTTAGTCGCATACAAGATGCCTCGCAGTTCGGAGCTCTCTGATTTCGAGAAAGGTATAATTATCGGGTATCACAAATGTGGCCGATCCTTAAGGGAAATATCTAGTGAGCTGAAGTACCCAAAATCGACAGTGGCCTATGTGATTAAGAAGTGGAAGGTGAGCGGTGATTGTCGGAATGTGCCCCGAGTCGACAGACTAAAGAAACTGAGAGATAAAGACCGACGAGTGCTGTCCAGAGAAATTCGGAAGAACCGCATCCAACCGATGGCCCTCATCCGCGAGGAGTTTCAACAGGCATCCGGGAGTATTGTTTCAATGAATACCATCCGTAAGGAAGCACATCTGCTTGGTTTTCATGGTCGTGCTGCTGCCCATAAGCCTTTGATCACAAAGTCCAACCGCGCTGCTCGGTTAATGTGGTGCAAAGCACATCGAAATTGGACCGTAGATCAGTGGAAACGGGATTTTTGGAGTGACGAATCAAGGTTCAACATTTACCGTTCGGATGGCAGGGTCTGGGTCTGGCGTCTACCTGGAGAACGTCTCCTGCCAGAATGCATCGGCGGAGGTGGAATTATGGTCTGGGGGTGTTTTTCCTGGTATGGGCTGGGACCCTTGGTTCCCATTCATGGTAAGCTCAACTCCGATGCCTGCACTATTATGGATGACAATCTGCTTCCTATGTTGTGGCAGTTTTACGGGTTGGACCCCTGTTACTTTCAGGACGACAATGCCAGTTGTCATGTTTCGACGTTAAGCAAGGCTTGGTATGGTGCCAATGGAGTTCATCGAATGAACTGGCCTGCCCAGAGTCCAGACCCAATCGAGAACCTCTGGGACCCTATCGAGAACCTCTGAGACGAGTTGCATCGCCGAATTCAGGGGTGCACTACCCGTGCAAAATCGGGGAAGGAACTTCTATGTCTTCTCCAAGCCGAGTGGAACAAAATACCACTAGCTGTCATACAAAGACTTGTGGAAAGTATGCCCTGGAGGGTCCACGCTGTAATTTACCTCTCGTGGAGGCTCTACCAACTATTGATTTTTAATAAAGTTAGTTTTTCTTTTCTCTCACAGGTGTCCAAATACTTATTGGTAGTCAGTGTAGCACTACTGCCTTAACTAAGTTTCTAGCATGGATCCTCTGATATAGAACAACCAACCCGAGCTCATACATGCAGGCCAACAACCATGAAAGAAGAAAGTTATTTGCACCAAAGAAAATCCAGAACAATCTATTAATGAAAAATTCTATCTTCTGTATGGTTGTTTCCGCATAATGAAACAAATTTTCTGTAGAGCTCACAAGTTCGCACCTAAGACTTATAAAACATGTCTGGGCACCTCCTCAGTGGACAACTACAATTCATCTTCCCCTAATAAATCATGTTTTCCATAACGAAGCCTACAGAAATGTCTCTCTCTCTTTGTGGAAATACTCTTCACTCTAGATAAAAAAATAGCTTCAAGAGACGAATAGCCCGAGATCTGTATGACAAATATTACACTGAAGGATTTTTTTCTTTTCCACTAGAAATTTGCACTACAAATTTCTCTTCATCACCCCTATTAAAAATAGTGTATCCCCTTAAGCATTTTATAATGAATGGATAACGCATCAAACAATATTCCTCATTCTTCATCTTACGCATTACACAATAGTATATTATACTTTTCGTTTGTTAAATAGAAGCTTATTTTTCATTACCGTTTATTTAAAAGCTCGTGAACTATTTTAGACTAGACATTGATTGCAGTACACAGTAGACTTACATACGACAGAAATAACAAAAATTGTAGTGAACGAAAGATTTGCATATAAAGCCTAATCTATACTCGTTTAAGTCGCTAAACATTGGTAGTTCAGTACGGGGTTCGAATTCCCGTGAACAAGATGGCTGCATGAGCGTTTTCATTGTTTTCCCCATGCATAACACGGATACGAGTCAGTTTTCCTTAAAAGTCCTCGACGTGCGTCCGTCCCTTTGGCGAATACCATTGCGTGCGACACCGTATTCAAACAAAAAGTACTATACTGGTGCTTAAAGTTAAGAGTATTTTCCCATTCCCTCGATTATCTCCAGAAGAGACAGACAAATTTTAATGAAATCTGGTATAGAAATAGTTGATTTAATGAAAACTGCAACCATGACAGTCATACGTGATGCATACAACAACCGTGATACGTACGCATAATTGTACGTAAGGCTCATTGGTGCAGGAAGGTTTATAAAAGAGGGGAGGCTATTAATGGCTAAAGTCCCCT